GCGAGGCTGGGGCTCGGGGTTTGGCCTCACGTGCTCACAAAGGCCGGATTCCGAGCCCTGGCAGGCGGGAGGACCAGGAGTCCGGGATGGAGGGTGGAAACGTTTTTAAAAAAAAACATTTTATGTATAAAAAATGTGCCGGCTTTATTAAGAATTCCTGTTTTCACTTTAATTTTATTAAATAATCTGTTAATTAAAGTTAATTCAGCTGAAAAATCATAAAAAGACAAAATTATTGGATCTCTCAGGAATATTTCCCTCAAACATGTTTAAAAGAAGAGATACAGACTTTAGTTCAACTTTATTCTAATCCACAGATGTACAAATCACAAAGCAAGAATTACACTTTAAATCACTTAAGGCTCCAGTATACTGCCGCGTACGTCTGTTCACGCGTATGTACACGTGTACTGTACGCAGAGGGTTCAGACATGATACTCCAGCATACACCCCGAGCAGCTGCAGAGCAGCTTCACAGACAAGGGGCGTTTACCTTCGGGACAAATTGAGGTCGCCGATTGGTCATTTGCTGACACGCCTACTGGATTGATTGACAGGTCAGAAAAAAGAAAAAAAAGTGAGCGCTGGCAGCCTCAGCTGCAGCGGTGTTCTGTGTTTATATGTTGTTCATAAAAAGATTTTTTTTGAAAAAAAAAAACAAAAAAAAAAAACAGGGAGCGCTGGCTCTACAGCCCACACATCAGACCAGCCCACCAGGAAATCTCCAGACCTCCCACAGCCACGCTGGACCTGAGTTTAATTCTCTCGTGACAAATTCCTCCATTTCTCACCATTTCAGTCATGGCATCAACGGAGGAGGAAGAGATCACTGCCTCTTGGCAAAAAAACAAAAGAAAAGGCCAGATCAGAGATGAAGAAGGGGAACTTAATACATTGGTGTCTCATACAAAACAGTCCGTCGCTGGGCAGTTTATTGTGCGACACCGCATACGCGTATGCAGTCGTAAAAATTTGAGCTTTGCACAGACATGCCCTGGGTGGTACGCTCGTACCTCTGCGTATGTACGTGTGTACTGTTGGATGGACTCTGCGTATGGATGTACACAGCAGTATACTGGGGGCTTAAAAAAAATCTGTATACAAGAAACAAAACCACATATCTAAATTGAACAATAAAAGTAGACACAATGAGTGCAAATACATCAAATGATGAAGAAAAATGTAGAATTTTAAAAAGAAATGTTTTTGTCATCTGTTGTAATCTGATTCATCAAATTAAATTAAAATCAGTTCATTTAAATAGCACCACGTCACAACAGAAGTCGTCTCAGGGCACTGAATAGAAATATTCATATATAAAATAAGTTAGAATCATTCATATTTAAAAATAATAATTTAACATTATTTATTTGAGGAGCAGACTGCTTTGAGTTTAACTCATTGCAGAACTCTCACTCGGTGAACTAAGTTCATTAAGGTCGTTTTCACACCAGATAGTCCGGTAGACTCGGTTCGGGACCAATATTCATGACCTTTTGTTACATTTGAGCTGGTGCGTTTGCATTCACACTGCACTGTGCAGTCGAGTCAACCTGTTGAACCAACCTGTTCCCCCGCTCGCCTGTGGGGGCGCTGCACCAAGAACTACTGAAAGAAACGACACAAAAACCTCAGAAGACACGTCTTCTTCTTCTTCTGTAAATAAAAATAAAATGAAGTGGCATCAAGTTTTAGCAGTTTTAGGAGTTATATTTTGTCATTTTTCAACAATGGACTCAGCATGAGCAGAAGATGAGACAGAAGACCATGGAGAATATTGTTTTTCACACAAGGTGGCTGACGGCTCCATATAAGAGAAATGCGTGTTTGTTTGTCCTGCGGAGCGGGGCTCGGTCTGTTTACATTCACACTATACCCGAACCGCGCTGGAGTTCTCTTCTACCGGACCGAGACCTAGGTTTTAGCCCGGGCCAGAGTTCACATTTTGTTCCGTGACAGAGTTTGATGGTGCGTTCACACCTCCCTAAACGAGCCGGACTTTCTAGGAAAACGAGCTAGAGTTCGATTAAAGTGGACTAAACAGGGCTGGTGTGAATGCACCCTGAAAGTTCATTAGCAGGATTTTGGATTCTGGACACGCCTCCAGAACCTGTCCTGAAGTGCGGTGAAAATCTAGGCTGATCTGAGTAGGGCTGAGTAGAGTTGGGGCTGAATAGGAGCAGTGCAAAAGGGACAATAGACATATCTAAAAAATAGTGAATACAGCACCTCAGACTGAGGAAGTCTTTCAGATGAAAGACAAAACATTTCAAAATTTTTGTTTTTGTTTTGCTTTGTTTTGTTTTTTGAATGTCCAGAGGACCAGATTTAACTTTTTTAGATTTTTTTACCTGGATTATTGAGCATGCACCAGGGTAATATACATAGATCAGGCTGGAAAGGATGTGCAACAGGTTAGGCTTGTTAAATATAGGAACGGTAATATTCTAACAAGTGAGGAGAGTGTGACAGGAAGATGGAAGGAGTACTTCGAGGAGCTAATGAATGAAGAGAATGAAAGAGAAAAAAGAGGAAAGGTCATAGAAACCTCAGACCAGGAATTCAAAAAGCGTTCAATACAAAAAAACCTCAGACCAGGAAGTGAGACAGAGGGTGAAGTCTGGAAAGCTATGAATCCTGCCTATGAATCCTACCAGATCCTACCTCACTAACAGATCTTTTTGTGTCTCCATCAAGAATTTTAGTTCTGCAGCGACCGAGCTTAAATGGGGGGTTCCGCAGGGGTCCATCCTGGGTCCCCTCCTATTCTCTCTATACCTGCCGCCACTTGGTGCTATTTTCCGGAAACACAACATACCATTTCACTTCTACGCCGACGACTGATGACCACAATTTGCACTCTGCTACTGTCTTTACTTACTCTGCTCAACCTGTTTTGTATTTGTAATTATTTTTTCTATCCTTAACATGTGTTTTTTGTCTTTCAGATACACCTGGACCTATACCTGGACCTACCATTCTGTGTTCATCTGTCTCTCCTTCATGTTCTCTCAACCAGCCGGTCAAAGCAGATGGCCGCTTGTCCTGAGCTTGCTTCTGATGGAGGTTTCTTCCTTTTAAAAGGAAGTTTTTCTTTCCACTGTTGCCACTGTGCTTGCTCAGGATGGGAGACTGCAAAGAAGCCAAGATTCAACTTGTCTGCTGGATTCCTTAGATAGAGAACTCTACTAATTGGCTTTTATGTGAATGTTTCTGTAAAGTGCCCTCAGACAACTTTGTTGTGATTTGGCGTTATATAAATAAACTGAATTGAATTGAATTGAATTGAAA